CCATTTTAACTTACTAGCTTTGAATTAATGTTCTGGGAGAGAGTTACTCCTAGTTTGACTTTGGAATTTGGGCAAGCTCTGATTCCCTTGCTACTCTAGTAGCTCAGTATTTCTGACACCAATTCTAGCCCCATTCAACTTCCATTTTTACTTCATTTGTTCTTGTTGTTGTTAAGTGCCGTCGAGTCGGATCAAACCCATAGCGACCCTATCTATACAGGGTTTCTGAAGAGCGACTGGTGAGCTTGAACCGCTGACCTTGCAGTTCAAACAGATTTGCAGTCTGGCTCATTAACCCACAGTGCCACACCAGGACTCCATAGAGTTGCCAAATCAGCACCCTGGTTCACGCATTATTTTCAGTTCCCACAGCCCCATTCCCTTCATCTAAGCAACTATCAAGCATTAAAAAATAGATTCAAATGCCTCATATTACAGCATAAGAAAGTGTAGATTAAATTATTATACAAACTATTATCGGTAGACTTCAAACTGGGTCTCTTCATTCCTAAACCAATGTTCCTATCAATGGAACGTGAATGTATGCTCCTGTGTGCATGGGTGAGGTATTTAACAATAAATATTTTAAAAATACTATGTTAAATAGACAAGAATTACATTCCCAAACTTAAATGAATTACTTCTACTATTATTAGTAGCCAGAAAGTACACTTAAGTCAGAGGCTATTAACCTAGCCAAACATCTGCTTAAACTTTTAAAACACATACACACACATCTCCTCATACTAATTAAGACTTTGCTAAACTTAGGCATCCCATAAATCCCACCAGGGAGCTAATTGGTCACATAACATTATCTCACTCTTTATTAAGGTATCAGTGAAAGACATTTCGATTCCCACCAGGACCATTTTGTTTCCTAATATAAACCAAATGTTCAGTGGTATTTTACTTCAGGATATTCTCTCTTCATTTTAGAATTAAAGTAATATTATTGGGCCAAGGCATCAGAAAACATTGTATGATATAGAAACAAATATAAAAACAAGGACATTTTGAGAAGACTTCATGGTAGAGAAAAGTAAGGCCATGTATTGAACAGAATTAACATATTCCATAACCACAATGAATCCACAATCAAATAAAACTGTGTTTCACTCCTTTCAACTTAATTATACACAATGTCAGTGCCTAATAAATACTTATTAAATAAATGATTGACAGAAGAAAAAACTGTGTTCTGAATTCTTTTCATAAAAGACTAAACCCAATTAAAGTCTAAATTATATAAACATGTTAACTTTATAGAATGGGCAATCACAAGTAACGTTTACGTGGTGAATTTATTAAAAGTCACTTTTTGATATTTAATTAGATTACTGATCTTGTCACTCGTGTCACTCCTCTGTTATAACCCTTTCAAACGTGAGTGATAAAAAAATCTTCAGAAACAAACTTTTGTAAAAGATGGAATGCATTGTCTTATAGATCTATAAAAAAACAACTTTCAGATACATCTGGCTTCAGTTACATCTCAAATTACTGTCAGGTATGTTCCTCTTTTTCAGTATTTTTCTTTCTCTGTCTCTTCCTTGATATTGGTTATCCTCATTCTCAGATAGACAAGATGACCACAGGCATGCTTAGGGATCCACCAGCTTAGTAACCACACTGGAAAAATAATTTCTCATGTTTAGTAGTTCCAGATAACATTGAAGAGTTAACTCTTATTGGGCAGCTTTTGGTCACATGTAAAAACCAAATCAAATCCAGAGCAATCAAGGCGATTCCAACTCATAGGGATCCTATCTAGGGTTTTCTGAGACTGGAAAACTTTATAGGAACAGACAGCCTCATCTTTCCCCCTCAGAGCAGCTGGTGGGCCAGCCTTGAGATTATCAGTCAAATGCTTAATCCACACTGCTACCCATGCTCCTTATGCCTAAAGTAATCACCTTAACTGGATGCTTTGTTGTTGTGAAGTGGCCTCGAGGTACTTCCAACCCATAGTGACCCTGTTTTGCTAGGAGTGGCCGGTGAGTTTGAGCCACCAAACTTGCTGTTCAAATCGACCTTGAGGCTGATTGCTTATCCTATGGTGCAACACCAGGATACTAGGCAGGCAAAAACAACAATATTCCACTGATTTTCTTTTTAAAAAATTAATACAACACCTTCATTTGTGTCCTTTTTTTTATAGGGAAAAATCAACACTGAATTTACTGACTGTGGCAATCAATCATTCCTTGTTGGTTTGATTTCACATTTCCACTCCAACTCAAATATGTGGCCACAGTTTATCAAATGAGCCCAAATCATAGAAGAGTGTTCCCTCTATATGACATGGCCTCTGTCCACCAACATATCTATCCCCCAGCTGCCATTTTCCACTACAGAAACGCACAGAACTTAAAGGCTCAGATTTGAATATAACATCTTTATGAAACATTTCCTAACTCCCACTAAATAACCATTGTCACTCAGTTCTCTCTACTTCCACAAAACTATATAAGGGAGCTTAAAAAAACACATGGAAAAATGCCATTGTCTTTTCAATCCAGTTTTCCATGAACATGCTGTGGCTTTGTTGAATAAGCATTGGACTACTCACCACAAGGTTGGCGATATGAGCTCAGCAGCTGCTCCTAGAGAGAAAGATGAGGCTTTTCTGCTCCCTCAAATATGTTTAACTCGGAAACCCTACACAGGGGGGCTATGAGTCTCTTGGAGGTTGTCTGTCCTGTAAAGTTTTCCAGTCTCCGAAACCCTAGATAGGATCCCTATGAGTTGGAATCAACTCGATTGCTATGGATTTGGTTTGGTTTGGGAACTTAACAACAGCAAAAAATAAATCTATTGTGCAACTGTAGCATAGAGCACGGGGCTGCAAGGTAGGTTTGAACCACAAGGTCTGCTTTTAAAACTCACCAGCCACTCCTTGGAAACCCTGTACAAGGTTGCTATGAGTTGGAACCGACTCAACGGCACTTAACAACAACAATATTGTGGAATATAAGAGATGGTATTTGGATAATTTGTTATATGAATGTTTCCTTCACCCGGCATATGGTTTTCTTGAGAGTACAAGTCTCTATTCCCAAGGAAAACACATGTGATCTATCTCTAGCAACTAGGACAATAACTGACTTGGTTTATTTTGGATGAATTCATTTATTGACTAAGTCAAATTGAATATCATTTCTCAAATTCAGTAGCCAAATCCAGTAGTGAACAATCTGAATGAAGGATTCCAAATTAAGTGTTAAGTGGGACTGGTAATATCAATGGGTCCAAAAGCTCTTAGAGATCTCTTTCAGATAACATTGCAAATGATCATGATTTTCATTTAATAGTGGTTAGGACTTGGGCTGCTAACCCCAAGGTCAGCAGTTGAAAACTACCAGATGTTGCAAGGGTTAAAGATGAGGCTTTTTGCTCTTGTAAAGATTTACAGCCTCAGAAACTCTATACAGGGTCACTATGAGTCAGAAACCGACTCCATGGCAAATAACAAACACCACCCGGGTTGTTGTTAAGTGCCATCAAGTTGGTTCTGACCCATAGCAACCCCATAGAGAGTTTCCAAGGAGCGACTAGTGAGCTTGAACCACCAACCTTGCAGTTCAGACTTTGCAGTCTAGCGCATTAACCCAGAGCACTGCATATGTAGGTTAATTTTGGAGTCCTGGTGTGGCACTGTGGGTTACTGTGCTGGACTGTGAAGTCGGTTGGAACCTCAAGGTCACAACAGACTCAAGAGCACTTAACAACAACAATCCTCTCTGCACTAACACACATAGAACAAAATCAGCCTCATTCCTGGAGGTAAAAGAACTATTATGGATGTTTTCAAAGTGTCTGTGATGTTCTGGTTAGTTTTGTTTGAGGTATATTTACAATACTTATGAGTAAGGAAAACATAAAAGAAACAGGAGTGTTTGTAGAAAATTCCTTAAGAAATCATCTGAGTTAGCAAACATGCCAAAACTTTTTAAAAGAAGTTTCAGAGATTTTATAATGCAAGCCGTTTAAGAATCATAACGGAGAGGGGCTAACTAAAACGATTCGGCTAGGGGCCTTTGTTGTTGTTGTGTGCCGAGGAGTCGGCTCCGACTCGTAGCGACCCTGCATAGGGTTTCCGAGGCTGTAAATCTTTACGGGAGCAGAAAGCCTCATCTTTCTCCTGCGGAACAGCTGGTAGTTTCGAACTGCTGACCTTGCGGTTCGCTGCCCGATTTGTAACCACTACGCTACCAGAGCTCCTTTAGGGGCCTTATGAATTATCAAAAAATTGTGTACTTTTTTAGTGAAAAATCTGTGATTTGAGGACTTCAAGAAGAATTCTGAGCACCTAAAGATGAGAATTACTGAATTTAACTAGGATGAGTTGTTGTTGTTGTTGTTAACTGCCGTCGAGTAGGTTCCGACCCACAGCGACCCTGTATACAGTTTTCAAGGAGACGCTGGTGAGTTTGAACTGCCAACCTTGCAGTTCAAACGGCTTTGCAGTCTGGCGCATTAACCCACAGCGCCTCACCAGGACTCCAGGATGAGTTAGGTTCAGCATTTTGAAAAAGACAGGTGTATATAATGTAACTAGTATATGCATTCGGTGTTCTGTCGTTTAGCTTACAAATAATTGGAAAGTATCAGAGTCGGAAACCACTCCCGGAAAACAGGCTCCTGTGGGTGGGAAGACACTGAGGACAATGTTTACAACGCAATAAATGCTCAGCAAGTCTGCCAGATTTGAATGAAGTAAAACCTAACTTGAAACCAGTATTTGATTTGTAACAATGGGGAGGTGGTGGTAACTAGGCAACAGCCCCTATAAAGCACTGGACTAGAGGCGGACCGCTACCAGACAGTCACCAGAAGCCCGCCAGAGTAGCGGAGGCTCTTGAAGCCTCTCTGGTGTCGGAGCCAACTTAGTTGGATCCGGACACTAAAACGGACGTAGAACGTACCCAAACGTAAAATTCAGTTTATTTTTCAATAATAGTATGTCTTGAAAGATAGTTTTCCACTTGTTCATCAAGATGGAAAATTCAGATTCCGAAGACAGTGAAACTGAATCTGAGAGCCACTGTATAAGTCAGGTGGACCGATTAGTTCGTGAAGAAGCTTTCTATCGATTTGTAAATGATCTAAGTGAAAATGATTACAGGATTATGAGGAATAACAATTTGTTAGGTAACCCAGGTGAAAGTACTGAAGAAGAATTGCTGGAAAGACTACGAGAAATTAAAGAGGGCCCGCCACCGCCACCGCCACCGCCACCGCCACAGCCACCGCCACAGCCACCGCCACCGCCACAGCCACCGCCACCACCGCCACTTCCACCAACAACAACACCGCCACCAACACCACCACCACAAGGCTCAGGTAAAAATTGAAGTATATTTTGCTATGGGAAGTGGTAAAATGGATGAGAAATTTCATAACAGTAAATATTAAAGATTATTCAGAAATGATATAAATTAATTTGAGAGTAATCACTAAGTAATCAGTTAATTAATCACTAAATAACTGATCATTAAAAGAAAACTGGTATTGATGTTGGTGACAATATAAAAATTGGTTCTTTTTGTTTTAATTTGAGGGTGGGTATTGGTGTGGCACTGTACAGAGCTCTGGTAGTGTAGTTATTATGAATCGGACTGCGAACCTTAAGGTCAACAGTTTGAAACTACCAGCTGCTCCGCTGGAGAAAGATGAGGCTTTCTGCTCCCGTAAAGATTTATAGCCTCGGAAACCCTGTACAGGGTCGCTATGAATTGGAAACGACTCCACGGCACATGACCACCCCCACCCCCACCATTGGTGTGGCGCTGTAGGATCAACACTGGACCGCGAATCACAAGGTCCGCATTCAAACCCACCAGCTGCTCTTCGAAACCTTATATAGGGTCGCTATGAGTCGCAACCACTACTGCACTTAACATTTTAATTGGGGGGGGGGGGGTACTGGTGTAGCACTGAAGTATAAAGCAGTGGACCACAAGGTCAGGCCGTTGAAACTCACCAGTTGCTTCTCGGAAACCCTATACTGGGTCTTTATGATTTGGAACTGACTTGTCGGCACTTACCGTTTTAATTGGGACACAGATATAATCTCTCTTTCCCCACACCCCCCTATCCTAGCGCCACTGGAAGTTTTCCATGTTCTGAATCATTGCTTCTATACAGACATTTCTCACCAGCAAAAATAAATATTGTATTTTTATTGTGGTTCTAATAAGTGGTTCTAAAGTGGGTAAGATATTTCTTCCCCCTTCCCCAGGGAACATTTGGTGATGTATAGAGACATTTTGGTTGTCACAACAAGGTCTGACAGCTCCCATTATGTATATTTAGAGTATCAAAGGTTTTCATTGTCATTATCAATTGGCCAGATGCAAAAGGAACTCTGGGAGAATAGTGATTATGATGAATCAGGCTGCGAACCGCAAGGTCAGCAGTTCGAAACTATCACATGTTCCGAGGGAGAAAGATGGGGCTTTCTTTTCCCGTAAAGATTTACAGCCTCGGAAACCCTGTACAGGGTGGCTATGAGTCGGAACCGACTCCACAGCACGTAATATCAACAACAATAGGAACAAAGAATGTTTCTATTAGATTTCGGAGGCATATTTATTCTAGTGATTCTCAACTGAAGGTCATTTCGTCTGCTACTGGCAGAGGGCAGAGATGCTGCTAAACATCCTACAAGACACTAAACAGCCACACATACAACAAATCTCTGTGAAAATATCAGGAGTGCTGAGAGTTAGAAACTCTGCTCTAATCTCAGGTCCAAGGAGTCATGGTGGCTCAGTGGATTAACTGTTGGACTGCTAACTATGAGGTCAGAGGTTCAAACCCACCAGCCGATCTGAGGGTGAAAGATGAAACTGTCTGCCCCGGTAAAGATCAACAGCCTTGGAAACTCTCTGGAGCAGTCATACTCTGTTCTATAGGATGGCTATGAGTCACAATGGCAGCAGAGAACCTCAGGTCTGCTGTGACCCTGTGTGAAATAGAATTCATTTTTACAGTGTGGTTTTTGAGTATGCCTTTATATTGGGTGCTAGATTCAATCTGTTCATTTGATCTGAACGTCAATTCAATGAAAGGCATTGAAATACTTTCAAACCTATAAACATTATATTTTGGTAATGCCAACAGCAATCTTGTAAGGAGCTCTGGTAGCGTAGTGGTTTCAAGTCGGGCTGCCAACCTCAAGGTCAGCAGTTCGAAACTATCAGCGGCTCCTCGGGAGAGAGATGAGGCATTCTGCTCCTGTAAAGATTTACAGCCTCAGAAACCCTGTGCAGGATCGCTATGAGTAAGAACTGACTCCACGGCACATAACAACAACAAAAGTCTTGTATTTCAATACATTCTGATTATCAGGAACCCTGGTGACACAGTGTTTAAAGCTCTCGGCTGCTAACTGAAAGGTCAGCAGTGCCAGCCTATCAACCCATTTCTCTTTAGGAGAAAGATCTGGCAATCTGCTCCTATCAAAATGTACAGCCTTGGAAACTCACTGACAATGTTCTCCTCTGTTCTATGGAGTCACGTGTGTTGCAATTGACATGACAGCAGCACGTTTGGAGTTGGGGTGTATATGTATCATCAAAGGCGCTTAAAAGGCTAGAAGATTATGTAGATAAATGAAAATTTGACAAAAATGTTTATTTGAATTAAAATACTGGTAACGGTAAGCTCTGGTAGCGTAGTGGTTACAAATCGGGCTGTAAACTGCAAGGTCAGCATTTCGAAACTACCAGCTGTTCCACGGGAGAAAGATGAGGCTTTCTGCTCCCGTAAAGATTTACAGCCTCGGAAACCCTGTACAGGGTCACTATGAGTCGGAACCGACTCCACGGCACATAACAAAAACAAAAACAACTGTATTGAAGGGACTATAAAAGGTTCATGGAAAAATTCCATTATCTTTTCATTTCAATTTTCTTTTTGGTGGCGGATAGGAGAGGAGTAAGGAGTTAGGGTTAGGTTTATGGCTAGATCTATGCTAAGCCTAGAGTTTCATGTAGTATCAGGGTTGTTGTGGTTAGTACTAGGGTTAATGTTAGGATTTGGGCTAGGGCTACTTGGTCCCATTTAGGGTTATAGTTAGGTTTATTTTCATTTAATTTACATTTTTCATGAAATATATTTGATTTCCTCTGTATCTGGAAGTTCTTTAACTACACAGTTCCCTCTTTTCACTTTTGTGTTTTTGTTATAAATGACTATCCCTGTTTCCCATTTTTGAGTCTTGTCGAGTCATTGTACTTTCTATGTGTGGGTTGAGTTGTGCATGATGTTGTCATATATGTTAATCCCAGGTTGTTGCTTGCTATAGTCGGTCTTCTAGCCAAAGAACTCTTGTTAGTATTTTCTGTAAGCTTCGTCTGGGTTTTATAAATTCTTTTAATTTCTGTTTACCCAATTTTGCCACCATTTTTGAGGGATAATTTTGCTGGATATATGATTCTTGGTTGGAATTTTTTTTTTTCTTTCTTTCAGAATTTTAGATATGTCATCCCATTGTCTTCTTGTTTGCATGAAGAATTCAGAGCTTAGTTTTATTAGTTCTCCTTTGTAGGTAGCTTTTCATTTTTCCTGGGCTGCGCTCAGGATTCTTTCCTCCTCTTTAGTTTTGAAGATTTTGATTACAATATGTCTTAGTGATTTTCTTTTGGAATCTATCCTGTTTGGATTTCATTCAACTTCTTGAACACATTTCTTCTAGTCTTTGATGATGTTAGGGACATTTTTCCTCAAACAATTCTTTGACAGTTTTCTCTAAAGTTTTTTTTTTCTTTGTTTTGTCTCTCCTTGCTCTGGAATTCTAACCACACATAAATTGTTCTTCTTGATGGTGTTCCACATAATTCTTAGGCTCTCTTTGATTTTTTTTTTCCTTTGTTTTTCTGGTTTCTCTGGCAAATGACTATTGAGAGATTTGTCTTCTTCAAGCTCATCAATTCAGCTTTCCATTGTACTTCTTTGCCCCTTCAATGTATTCTTTATTTCTATAAAATTTTGGTAATAATCTTCTGGATTTCTATTTGCTATTTTTGTATGGCCCCTAATTTCATTTATTTTGTCAATTTGTTCTTATAGTGTTTTCCTGAATTACTCTAAAATCCTGTCTGTGTTTTCCTTAATTTCATCTGCAGTTTCCTCAATCATTACCTCAATTCATTGAAGGTACCTAAAGATCATTCTTTTTAAGTTCTATCTGATAGTTCTAATACCATTTCTGGTATTATATTTTTTGGCTCTGTATTTTGGTCACTTGTTTGAGACACTGTCTTATTTATTCATGTAAACTGAAATGATCTATTGTATTCCAGACACTGTGGTATTGTTGTATTTATATTTAATAGATGATTATATATAGGTGTGTTCTCAGGCACTCACCACCTGTCTCCTGGTGGGTGTGATAGAGACTGGAAGTGGCTATGCAATTCTCTGTTCGTTGTTTGTGTAATGTAGTGCAGGATGGGTTTGTCTGCTGTTGACTGCTCATTATTATTGATCAGGTAGTACAGGAGTGGGAAGTGGCACTTGTCCAATGAATGGAGCTGCAGGAAGTAAGGATAAGGCTGGGTCGTATGGGCACAATTGCTAACTCCCAAAAACAAACAACAGCAATCACACATAAGTTGTTGTTGTTGTTAATTGTCATCAAGTCGGTTCCAACTCATAGCAACCCTGTATAGGATTTCCAAGGAGCCACTGGTGGGTTTGAACCACTGACCTTGTGGCTAGCAGGTCAATAGCAAATATGATGAGGTTAAATTCATGCACCTCCAAACATGGGAGTGGTAGGCCTGGAGCTCGCACACAGGCAGAGCAAAGGATGTTCATCTGTGGGTCTAGGTCACTGTGTCAGCCAACAACAGCCATGAAAGCTCAAGATGGCCACATCACACCAGGCCAGCCAACAGCACACATTTCTATCTCCTCTCTCACCAGTCCTGCTCAGGTTCCTCTCAGTCGGCACTAAATCCACCTCCACCTCTCTATCCTTTCCAGTGAGGTTCATGGTTCCAGAATCACCATCCACTGTCTGTTTCTAGGAGTCCTGGGGTGGCGCTGTGGGTTAATACACGAGACTGCAAAGCCATTTGAACGGCAAGGTTGGCGGTTCAAGCTCACCAGCTGCTCCTCAGAAACCCTATACAGGGTCGCTGTGGGTCAAAATGACTCGACAGCACTTAACAACAACAACAACATTCATATCTAATTCACTTGGTTCCTGTGTCCTCAGTGTATCTACCTACTCTGCCCCTTAATTCCAATTTTCCATGAACTTTCAGAAATCTCTTTTGTACCTTACTAATGCTTAATTAACTTATTAATTGCATTGGTGGTTTGATAGTGGACTAAAAAGACAAAAGCTGTCTTTGGACATTACTCCATTCCCCATAGAGTATGCTAGGCTCTGTATAGGACGAGATATTTTAAATAAACTTCTTCCAGATTCCCTTAAAAGAAATTATCTAACTTGCTCCAGGATTAATTTACTCTTTCAATATCAAATTGAAACTTGCCTGCCTCATTTACAAAAGATAACTTTATAAATGTAAAATCCATTTAAAACATTTGACTCTTTAAATTCTCATTTTTGTTTGTTTTTGCAATAAACTTTTTTTTCATTAATGTCCTAATTTTAGCATTTTCTTTCTCCCTCCCTCATTTTTTGTTAAAAGGTGAAGGTGAAGGAAACCTTTCTGATGAAGCATCTATTACTAGAGCCCTTGTGAACTGGATGAACTCTTTTCAGCAAGCTGGAAATGTGGTAAGAAGTGGGCAAAATGGAAACTACTCTTGGACAGTAGTGAGCCACACTGATCCTGATGGTGGTTACAGATCAAGATTACAAATAAGGTTTAACAATAATAGTTCAAATCAAGAGAGTGAATACTCTAGGGAGGAAAATACGGAAAATAACAGCCAAAGGCAAGTGGAAAATCCACTATCTGAATCTGCACCTTCATGGGAATCATTATTAGAACAAAATAGAACACCAACGCTCCATCAGCTCCTATCATCATCAGTTCCTACCAGAGCTATAAGAAGACCAAGAAGTAGGAGTCCAGAACAAGTGGAAAATCCACTATCTGAATCAACATCTTCATGGGAATCATTATTAGAACAAAATAGAACACCAACGCTCCATCAGCTCCTATCATCATCAGTTCCTACCAGAGCTATAAGAAGACCAAGAACTAGGAGTCCAGAAGACTACAGAACCAGAATGAGAGTTGAAAGCGGGCTGCCTATGAATCCAATGAATGAATTTTTACAAAGAGCTCATCATATTACCTCATCTCAGACTTTTGAACATCCTCTAATCAATGAGACTGAGGTTTATTCTAGAAACCAGCCACAGGAAACAGTGAGAGAGCAATTAACTGGAGATGAATTACAACATAGTAGTCTTTTTACAACTTCTGACAGAAGAGATGTCCCTCAAGGGGAAATTTCTGAAGAAACAATGAGCAATGATGAGTCTTGGAGATCAAGACAGAGAAATCCAGCCACATACTTAGATCCTGAAGTAAGGCATATTCATCCTGGAGAACACTGGGAGAGAGACAACATAGCTGGTAGAACCCCGTCAACATCTCAGACAACTGGCAATGCTATCACTTACGAAGATGAAGAAGGTTTTAGGCATTTGTATTCACAATTTCATCAACCAGGTGTGAGAACCTGTATCCATACCATGAGAATCGCCAGTCGTGCAACTTCAGATACTGCCTTAACTGATATGGAATCTAGTGCAATTCGTAGCACATTAAGACAAATAATGGAAGGATTTAATGATTCAAACAACTTTACACACAATGATATTAATTCAGAGCCTAGTGACTCTGTTTCAAGTCACAATAGGGAACTTACAGATTCAGACAATGAAAGTGCTGGCACTTCTGATGGTATCAGCCATTCTCATTCAAATTCAAACCCTAGCATTATTTACAGTTCAAATATTGCATCATTTCTCAATTCAGGCTCCAGCTCCAGGTCTAGTTCAACATCTAGCTCTAGTGACGAAAACTCAAGCATCATTTCACAGTTTTTAGAAGATAGTGATGAATCCGAGGCCAGGCAACAGGTACAATACGAGTCCCCAGTACTATTTGATGAAAATGACTCTTGGACCTTTTTTGACTTGGCTCAGTTTTTCCAACTAAATGAAAATCATCAGGTAAATGAAAATAATCAGGATCAACCCAGAGGACTCACTACAGAACAGATTGACAACTTGGAAATTAGATCGTTCTGTGAACATGATGCATTAAAATCCTGTAGTGTCTGCATATCCGATTTCACCGAAGGAAACAAACTACGCATACTCCCTTGCTCCCACCAATATCATGTTCACTGTATCGATCCCTGGCTAGCTGAAAACTCCACCTGCCCGATTTGTCGCCGTAATGTCATAGATCCTAATGACAGATAAAATTTTGAGATCTGGACTCTCAGTTCTATAGACTGATGAAATTTTTAATGATGGACAGA